GTTCGCCCTCTTGACCACCGCATCACACTGCTGACTCATGTTTAGCCTGCAGTCAACCAGCACCCCGAGGTCCCTTTCACAAGTGCTGCTCTCCAGCCACTTGTCCCCTAACCTGTACTTATGACAGCTATTCCTATGCCCCAAGTGCAAGACCTTGCATCTGAATGAAACTCTGTAGGGACAAATGCCAAGTTCTGTACATAGGAAAAAGAAACCAAACACACAGTTACAACTTGGGAGATATTTGCCCCAGCAGTACTGCAAGTGAGAAGGATCTCAAAATTTTTCTAGATCACAAGCTGAATATTAGTCAGCAATGGCAGGTGCTAGTTTGAGCTGCATTAATAGAAGTATCACTTCAAAACCATGCAAAGTACCAGTTCCTTCTACTTGAGCCTCATCTTCCCATTGAGCTTCATCTTGAGAAGTGCATCCATCTGATTTTGGACACCACAGTTTAAGAATGAAGTAGACAAATGAGAAAAGGTTCAGAGGAGGGCAGCAGAGGTGATCAGCAGACTGGGATCATAGCCCTGCAAGGAGAGACTGAAAGAACAGGGCATGTTTAGCCTTGAGAAGAGTGTGGGGAGATATGATGCATTCTTCAAGCACATTCCAGCTGCACATCAGCTGATAGTTAAAGCAAAGCAACAATGGAGCCAGTTGCTTAGCAAGGTCGTGGACTCTGCCACACTAGAGGCCTTCGAGATGCAGCTGGACAGCCATCTGAGAGAGTTCTTTTAACCTGGAATCCTGCATTGAACAGGGGGTTGGATGCCCTGGTTGTATGGGTCCCTTCCAATTCTGTGATTCTATGATTTCCTAATCCCTAGGTACTGGCTATCCTGGATGGGGATGATGGGAGTTGTAGTCCAAAACATCTGCAAGGGCCCAGGTTCGGCAAGGCTGGCTTAGTGCCACCCTATGAGCCCAGAACTAAGGTATGGATTGAAGCAATGGTGTCTCATAATGCACCTTTCTGTTTCTTAACTGTACCCCGCTAGCTTGTTGCCAGGGTCAAGCCATGCTAATGCCTGGAGAACAAAGCCCATGTGATGGACCTGGGAACAATCCAGCAAGAACATCTCCTTACACCTCAGTTGCTCATTTGTGATACATTCGGGTATGCCTTGTGAAGAAAATCAAGGCAATACAATGGGGAGATCGCAAGCTATGTGGAAGGGGGTCCCCATCCTTCTCCCCTGTTTCTGTACTCATTCAGTTCTGAAATGCTGCACCAATTCTCTGGCTTGTCTGTGTTTCTGTCCCTTCCCCAAAGCTAGGCCCCATGAGGGACCCATCCAGAGCAGGGAACAGTTAATGCCCAGCCTGCAGCTACAATCTCCTCTGATCTGGATCATAACAAAGGCAGTTCCTGTTTTGGGAAGGTCAGGGGGGCCAGCGGCAAATGTTAGCTTTGGCTGGGGCTTGCACTGCTCCCTCCAGTCCCCGCATCAGATTGACCTAACCTGGTGCCTCACAAATTGGAACCAGCTTTGGAGGCTGCGTCATGGAGGCCGTCCCCAAAGCCCTTCCCAGCTCAGGCAAAACAAAGCTGTGTGGTCGAAGGGGCTGAAGTGGGTCTTTAGCTCGCTCACAGAGCAGGTGAAGGTATTTTCATTTGTGATGCAGGAAGACGAGGACTTCCTACAGGGCGCTCTTCCCTTGTCACCCACACATTATGCAGCACGAAGTGGCGTTCGGAAGCACAAGCAATGTGATCCTGACTGCCTCTCCTCATGCCTTTCTTTCAACTGCACCAGCAGCTGCAGGGAAGAAGAGGGTTTCGATGGTGGTCGTGCTGCTGTGGGGTGGGGAAAGCCTGCTCCTTGGGCCACTCCTCCACGAGAAACTTCTGCAACGCTGCAGTTAGATGTGGCAAGGCACAGGGTGCTGGGGAAGAAGCCGTTTACATGGAGATAACAAGACCGAAGCAGGTTCACCAGCCTCTCCCCAGCACTGTGTTCATACTCCAGATGCCTCCTGCTCGCCAAAGCTGCCCTCAACAAAGCAAAACACATCAGGAGATCTGATGATGGAGCTGCCACTTCCCAGGTAGTTTGGCCTTAACAGGGGAAGGGTTCTGGACCATAACCAGAGTCAGGGCCAGGGTAGGCCTTTTCAGGCATGAATGAAAAGTGTGTTATTTTACATGCGTGTTGCTTCCCGTGGTAAAAGGCAGCCTTGAAGAAGCATGCACATAGCGGTATAGACAGCTGTAATAAATGGAATGGCACTCCTCCCCAAATCAGTATAGTTCATAATCTGTGCAACAATACACATAAAAATAAATATTGTAAAACATAATCTTAAAGCAGTGTAATTTGGAAAGTATGCATCCATGGTACACAAAATCTCACCCCCCCCCACTAGAATGTATACCACAAAAGAAGCCAACAACAATTGAGCCACAACCAATGTGTCCAAATATCTGAGGAAATCAGTATGTTTTTGTTTGGTGCCAAAAACATGAATGACTGGGCCAGGCAAGCTTCCTTAGGGAGGGCATTCCATAATTCCACAAATTCCTGCAGTACTGAATGCCCAGCTTTTCACAAGAAATGCATGGCTGGAATACAAGAGCTCACCTTGTATAATTGTGAAAATGGTGAGTAGAAAGAGTTGCTGTCTTTCAAGACTGTTAACAAAGCCATCCTCCAGCTCTGGAATATTTCTGTGTATTTCAATTACACTTGCAATTCCCATGCAAAGTGTGGATGAGTTAGAAGTCTCAACAGTTTCCTTAATTGTCCACTTCTAAATCAGAAGTTGCATTTCCCAAGAAGTTTGCTTCTCTTTCTAGTCTTTTAGAATGAAGTATCTCTGTTTTTCATGAGATGCAGTCAGGCAGACTCAATCTCCAAGAGGTATTGCAGCATCTTGAACACTGCCAGGTGCTGCTTCTTGTTTTCTGAGATTCCATATGCTCACTCTGAAATCTCAGACCAGACAGTATTGCTTTAAGTGGTGAGATATATCCTGAATCATGGTAAGAAATGTTCATCATAATGTTTTATGGAATAAAGAAGGAATTAAACACTTCATGTAGCATATTTTAACTATATTTTTATTGATATTTAAGAATTTTACAAGTGGAAAAAGTAAAAGTTTTACCAAAGTAGTGGGAGAATATGCAAACATCAGTGAAGAAATGCAAAGAGTATATCATAAAATTAATGGCATTTGCCAGATAAACACATTGGGGAAAAAAACAATATGATGTGATCAGTCCGCTACAGGATGATTATTGTGTGGAACAGTACTGTAGCAAGGGAGCATTATTAACAAAAGAAAGTAAATGAAACTATCCAAAGAAACCATTGAAATGAAATGAAACGAAATGAAAGCAGCTTCTTATGTTTCAAGGTCTTGTCCAAACATAGCTGAGAACTGACAGAAGTGTAACTATATATTTTCCCCCTGCAGTTAGTGACAGTTTTGGGGGGAGATTTACACCAGGAAAATAGGTTGGGGAGGAGAGTTAGGAAGAAGAGTTAATCCTCACTCCTCTTCCATGGTATAGCCCCAGACCAACTTAGCGCATCTAGCCAAGCAGCGATGTCCCATATAATACATAGTTTGGGCTTACAATGATCTATGCAAGGAAAGGCACTCCACCACTTGTCATGTTTATTTTCTTCTGGTAAACACTTCAGTTAATACAATAAGCTTTAAGTTCAATGTACCCACAGCTTTTCATGTGAAGAACAAAATAGGACATCCTCCACTTGCTAAGATCCAGAGTTCTGCCACCGCACAACTCAGCCCTGGTTTCTGTATGTAGCAGGATTGGGGAAATGCCGTGGTAGAATCTTGAGCCGCCACTGATGCTGGTCAGGTGTGGTGCATGAAACATAACAATTGGAGGTCTAAACCTATTACTACATTTCAGAACCACAAAAATGACAACCTAGAAAAATTCCAACAACAGACTCTCCCCCACTTCTGGTGAAAGCTGATTAAATCTTTTGCAATGATTAATATAATTCATTTTTCATTTATTACAAAAGTATTTAGTACTACATAGTGTGGGCTTCATTGTTTCCGCAGCCCTTCTGCAAATGTGTGTGCCATGGCCAATGGAAAGAAGCAGTTCTGCATCCTATTAAAGCAGTTGATGTTTATTTATGCACAGAGAATGGTGGGGAGGCAAAAGGATGGGTGAGTGAATGCCTATAAGGGTGAATAAGTGGGTCTGTGCGGAAGCAGCAAAATGTTCTTTTGACAGGATTCCACTAGCAGGATCATGAGATACTGCAGAGTGCATGGCTTCTGTAAGTACTCTTTCTGAATTGACTCAGTCAGGGGAAATTGCGTCCTCCAGATGTTTCGAACTACCCTGGCCAATGACCCTGGCCAATGGTAAGGGGCGATGGGTGCTTTCTTCAGAAACATTTAAGGGCATCAACCTGATAGCCCTTCTTAAAAGAACCTCTTTCAAGACTTTTGCATATGTTGCTAGATGAAAGGCAGTGGTGAATGCTCTTTGATAACATCCTTATTGGCTAGCAGTTCTCCCCACCTGCTTGAGAAAAACTCAAGAGGCAATTTTATGTTGGAATGTAGTCGGCAAAGGGGGCGGCAGTCCAGTTTCTGTGGCTGGGTGATAAGAAGAGGCCCTAGGCAGGTTGAAGGGTGGGCTTGAGGATATGCTCTCACTTTGGGGTGGGGGGAGACTGGTGCTGCCTTACAGACTAGCTGTCTTGCTTGGGGACTTGCCTGTGCTCACCTATGGCAAAAGCAACCCATGTTTCCAGGATTCCCTCGTCCATCAGAAGAAATCTGGCTATTTGAACGGCTGCCCTGAAGTCTGCATACCGCAAGGAGAAGTGGGGAGCATGAAGCTGTAGTTATAGCGAAGAGGGAGCATGAGTACCTTCCCTTGCTCCTGCAGAACCACCCCCTACTGTAGAGCAAGATCCCCCCATCATGCCAGGGGGCAGGAAAGGGGTTCCATCCCATTGCCTGTGGCTGTGGGAGTGAGTGATCTTCCAGGTGTCTTAGTAGTCGTCTTCGTTCTGCTGTGGCCGCAACACCACACTGTGATACGCTTTGATGCAGGAAAAGGCTGTGGGTGGGATGCGGCGGCGGTCAATCAGGTTGTTCTCCAGGTGCATGGAGATAATACTCGAATCCTCTGCCACTCGAGTGTCACAGACGGAGTTCAGCGGGATGTGCCTGCCAGGAAGAGAGACCAAGAAGAAAAGTTATGGAGCAAAGGTTTCAGAATGTCGTGTTAGCCATATGGCAAAGTTCCAAATTCTGTATTGGTGTGATAACTTCATTAGGCCCATCAAAGTATAACAAAAGATGTGCAGCACAGAACAATTCATCTAGCTTGGGGATGGCTGGCTGATGGCTACAAAGAGCTTCCATCCAGTTACATTCTCTGACATACACACCCAGCTGAAGGTGGGCAATTTCACCCAGGAAGGAGTGCTGACAGACCAAGTTTCTGACCTAGTGCTCAGTGAGAGGACATTTCAATGTTTTGATGCCACCCAACCAATTTGAACTTTTCTATACTAGATACTTATCAGGTGTTCAACATTTTCCACTTACAGTTCCTTACAGGCTCTGTAGTCAATGTCAAGACTCTTCAGTTTCACTTTCAACAAGAGCAGGGAAATTGTGACATTTAATTGTAAAAGTGAAAGAAAACACTTCCCCCCCTTGTGTATTTGCACTGTTTTTCTATACCACAATGTCACCTAGGGGAGATGTAGCAGAAATGCAGGAATGGAAATGTTCTTCATGTGGAGCTTGGATCTCAATTCAGGAGTGAAACCAAAAGCAGACCCAAAAGAATCAAAGCCTTGTAGAGAAAAGTTACTTGCATTGGGAAGGGTGCTTGACCACATTCCCAGCTCAGTGATCTTTTTTTGGCATCACGGCCAGGAATTGTTCCATCTAATTCCTGAGCATCTGGGCCAGTGAGAGTGTGGTACACCCCACTGAAGAATGGGGTAGATCTCACTCAATGCTCTCTGACATGTAGTGGCTCTCCAAATCCTTGTCTGGAGATCATGCAAGAGAGAACGGTGCTACTACATACTGAAACATTCTGGGGCCTTGGCCCACAAATTTGCAGATACTAATTTCCATACATTCTAAATGTGTATGTGTCTCTGTCTGTCATTAAAGGACCTTGTCTCCTAAGGACACCCCTATTTGAAAAAGGGGAAGAGGAGGGTGTTTGGTTTCAGAAGAAAACTTCAACCAGAAAGATTCAAGGAGGGCAGGTGAAAAGGAAGCACCTGTGGCAAACAACCAGCTCATCCAGGGGATCAGATGCAACAAGATTACCAGGGCCTCTGTGCCTTTATTTCAGCAAATGCCCATACACAGCAGTGGTGGGGCAGATGGTCTCCTGGAGATTAAAGTCTGCAAATGAAAGATTCAGGGCTCCAGCCCTGGTTGAACTGCCCCCTTACAAACTTGCATCAAAAGATAGAGCCTGAGATGAAGGCATGTTCTGCCACCAGGGTAGGGTCTCTCTACCTGATGCGATTGTGGCTCAGCCGCAGAACCTGCAGCCCCTTTAAATTCAGGATGCCGCGGGGAATGGCCTGCAGCTGGTTGTTGTCCAAGAGAAGTTCAGCAAGGGAGCGGTAGAGCCCGAAGAAGGAAACTGCATGGATGCCATCGTCCCGCAGCACATTGTGGGACAGGTGAAGAAATTCCAGGCCGGGCTTCATGTGGGCAAAGACATAGCCAGGGATACGTTCTATGCGGTTGTGATGCAGGGTCAGCTGCTTCAGGTGCCTGGGCAGAAAAGAGGGCACCAGTGCGAGGCGGTTGTGGGACAGATCCAACGACTCCAGCTTCCTGGGGGAGAAAAGGGTACACAGACACCCATCAGGGTTCCTGTCTCAAGTTAACACCAGCTAATGGCCTGACAAGAAAAGCCCACTGGTGCATATAAAAGCCATTTCCCGACATTCTTCACGGTGACCAAGAAACATATACTTAGATGGAGCTGCTAAGCTTTTAACAGCCATGGAAGAAGCAGAATTTCATTGTGGGAAGCTGCTTTTCCTGTCACTGCATCTGCAGTCTGAGTAAAAATAAATTCAATTCCGCTTGTCATCACACCCTTGTTAAAGGGACTCTCCATGCTGAGGGCAAGTGAAGGATGGCCTGCAGTCCCAGCAAGGAGACAGCAATATTTGATGCCATTTCTCCTGCAGAAAACGCTGGGGCTACTCACAGGAGGTCTATCCAGGCACGTGGAGCAATGCGATCCTCTTGCAACTTGTTGTTGCTCAGAACCAGCACAGTGAGGTTCAGGGTCTTGTTGAGGACACCCTCAGTTACCTCTTCGATGCGATTTGAGTCTAGGTGCAGCTCCTGCAAAGGCATAGGGGAGGGAGCGAAAGAAGCAACTTGAAGTCTGCCTTGAGATGGCTCCTGCCCCCTTCCTCATCCATCTGTGAACTCTTGCCTTGGTTGCAATTTTGTTCTCTCTTATTAGCAGTGATAGATTTGGAATATACATAGCCTCCAGACCCACAGCCCACCAAAAACAGCCATGCAAACCCACAAAGAGACCATTTAAATGTGGTTTTGGACAGAGTCACTTCTAAAGGGAGTTGAAAGGTGGGACAAGGTTCTAAGAACCTAAGAAGAATCCTACTGGGTGACTCATCCTGCATCCTCATTCATTTATCCAGTTAGAAAGGTGCCTTTTCTGCTGCTGTTCCTTGAGTGGTCTCTCACAAATCACCGGAGGAGGAGGAGGAGGAGGAGGAGGAGGAGGAGGAAATGTAGGGCCAAAACAGAGTACAAAAGACACATGCTGATTTATATGTCTAGACATAGACTGAAAAATAGATGGCATAATTTAAACAGAAATACAAACCATCTCACCATAGTAAGATGACTATAGTGGGGAAGACTGTGACCAAGTGACTTGTGTGTTCCTTCAAATTTAGAGCAGTCCTCTGAAAAGTAGGACAAATCACCACCATAGCCCTGTCTTCCAGCCACTGGTATTCAGAGGCAGGCACTGACAGCTGTCTTATCTTTCATGAAACCTGCATGCCCTCCAAAACAATTGCTTAGCTCAGGTTTAGGGGAGCAGTAATTTTGAAAGTGACTGCAGGCAATGCAACTGCATAAAGGGACTCAGGCCCTCCTGCTACAGATAACCACTGCCCTACTCACCTGCAAAGATGCAGGCAAACCTGAAGGGACAGCCCGAAAATGGTTCTGGTCCAGTCGCAGGTAGATCAGTCTGCTCAGGGGCTTGAAGGTGGTAGGGATCACATTCCCATCGTGCAGCTGGTTGCCTTCCAGCTCCAGGGTGAGCAGCTTGGAAAGGCCTAAGGAGTGCATGGGCATAGAAGAGAGGTCTCCAAGTGTTCTTCCAGAAATGGTGGAACCACCTTTTTGGTGGGGAACCCTGGCTTGGGGAGAAAGCCTGGCCCTCCTGGAGCTCCTGTCAGGCCCTCTGGCCTTCTGCAGAAGGCCCCACCTCCTCTCCCCTAACCAGTGACTTTCCTGGCTCTTGTGCCATTTCCCAACCATTCTAAATGGTAGAAATACCTCTCCCAGCTACTAGCAGTAAGAGCTTTAAGCTAAAATGTGCTGGCGTGTTTGGCATTTTGGGCCTTCCCCACTTTTGCCTTCAGCCCTCTCCCTTCCCTTTTGCCCTGCTTGCCATGGGAATGTGGCCCTGGGAGCTTCTCTGAAGTTGAACTTGTTCCTTGGGTGGAAAGAGGACCAACTCCACTATTGTCTGAGGTGGAAAATGGGCCCCTGGGCATGCAGAAATGACACTCAGAAGTTGATCTGCTGCTGGGAAATAGGCCAGGCTGACTCAGCCATTAGGCAGAGCAAGACAGCCACCTCAGGTAACTGACCCTGGGTGCCTAAAAGGGTGGCAAGTTGATGGTGGGGGTGGTTGTTACCGGTTTGTTTAAAAACTGTCCGGGAAGAGGAATTGTGTGATTTTTCTGCCTTGGGAGTCAAACTGATTTGCAGGGCTGGAAGCCATTTGCTGCACCACCAGAGCAGCAAAATCTCTTGTGTGGGACCTGGCAGCAGCAGGAGTGTTGATGTGATACACAAAATGTATTCCCTGAGCTCCTTCCATTGTCATCAAAGCATGTTCCCACAAAGCATGTGTGTAGCTTCCTACAAACAGGAGTGAAGGGGGGAAGATATCCCACAAGGAAGAGGGTAGGATTCGCTCTGGCTTCTGTAATCCAAACACTACATAGGTTAAAAGCATGTTTAAATGGCAGTCATGTATAGCTGACACCTCCCCTCAACCCCCTTGCCCCATTACCAGCCTTGCTCTTCTGCCCTGAATCTTCTGGTTTGAGATGCCAAGATTCAGCACAGAAAGAAGAAGACCTTCATCAGGAGGATTTCTAGTGGGAAGGGCCAGTCAGAAAGACAAAGTGGATAACCCCACTACCAAAATGCCCCCAGTCTGGGGAAGAGTAACTGCTGCTTGGCGCAAAGAGCCGCAATAACAAACCCAAGTTCTGCAAATGGCATGTGTGCATGCAAATCAGCCCAGTTTTCAAGTTTCCTTGCAGTGGCTGCTACTAGACCTCTCTCTGCTCTCAGGGAGAGGGAAGAAACAAGGGGCCTCTGTTAAGTGCACACAGAGCGGGACTGGCTCGCAGTAGGCCCGACATGTATGGCAGCTTCCTGTTTACACACCATTTATCAGCTGCTAACAAGCTCTGCTGGAACCAACCCACACACATCTAGCATGGGCTGATCCTAGGGAAAGAAAAAGGCCGGAATGTACACATCCTCCTCCAACCTCTGAATGGACTGGGAAATCTCCACTTTACAGTGTTCCCAGTGGAAAGAGCAGGATTAACATGCTGCATACATGAGAACAGGTTGCATCTGGACTTGTCTCAGGTTTCAAGGAATGGAGGTTGAAGCGACAATGGAGAGGACAAGTGTAACTAGATTTTATTTTGGTAGCAAGTTGTAGCCCAAGGAATTTTTGCGTGCAAGATCCCTTGAGTTGGGTTTGTTTGCTTCAGGTGCCGGTATCAAGTTATTTAGACACATAGATGCTGCTAGCAAAATGAATTCTCTTGAAATAATCACACAGACGATTATGTAATTGTTTTATGTCCGCATCTTGATAACATGTGTGGACTGTGTGTGATTTGCAGGAAAGCAGCCTTTTGCAACATTGTGCCCTCCAGATGTTTTGGACTACATCTCTCAGTATGCCTGTCCTTTAGCTGTATTTGTTGATGAACCAAAACATCTGGAGAGCAGGCACCAGTTGGGGGAAGGCTGCCATAGAGACTTGTGATAGAGACATAGAGATTTGTGATGTATTTCATCTGTAAAGATGTAGTAGGTGTCACTGCTTATTAAAAGCCAATGTGGGATGGCTAAAAACTGTCAGACTAGGACTGGGGAGATCCAGGCCCAAATTCCTGTGTGGCCTTTTCAGTGTGGGGCCTTGAACCAGTCAATGTGGCTTAGCCTGAGTTTAAAGATACATATAATTTGCTTTTATTTTTAATTTATTTTAGAAGAGAAGTCTGCTGATAAATCGTAGCTTGTTGGAGCACAATGTTGCTTGAGATTTCCTTTGAAAGTAACATGGCCCCCTTTTTGCTGCTACTGCCTCAGCAAAATTTCCTGTTGCACAAGCAAACAGGGTTGCCATTGTGCAAACAGTGCTCTGTGCTGGTGCAAAGTCAATGCTGCTGTTGCACAGATACCACTGGATCCTATCAATAAAATCATCTAGTGCTCACTACAAGCAGCTGTCCCTTTGGCCACTCTCATGAAACACATTCACACAGATATCCTTCCTTTGCTTAAAATAAACCCTCAAGGCAGCTAGCAACAAGAATTTGAAATGTATAAAAAGTAAAAAATAAGTAACAATTAAAGATTACTAAAAAAGAGAGTTAAAAAGCAGAAGTATATAAAGCATACATGCCAGTTATGAAAACAATTGAGCATCTTCCAGCAGAAGTACTTGAAGATTTTTTTTAAATGGCATCAGAAGTAACCAGGTAATTGACCTCCTGGGAGAAAGAGTCAGTCTTGTGCTTTTTGCACATTTATAGGGTTGTTTCCAGATGAGTTTGAAGCAGAAGGAAGCACCCTAATGCACAGTGAAAGACATGGCAACTTTGACAACACATAAAATCAGGGTCTTAGTTCAGTACCTACCAAATTAGGAAGCAGAAGGTATTTCTCATGACTACAGAATGCCAGAGTTGTGCAAATGTGTAGGGGAAGTGAATTAAAAGGGTGTCCCCTTGTGTTTACCTAGGAAGGAGGACTTCTGAGCAAATACAGAGTTTGCTCCTGACCCCCATCCCAGGAAGGAGCTTTTTTTTTAAAAAAAGTGGGAGGTCCCGTACCTCTGAAGCTATGTCTCTGCAGCCCTTCTAAATTATTGTCATTCATCTTTAGTTCCTGTAATGAGCTCGGTAAGGCTGGGATGGTAGTGAGCTGGTTCCCATCCAGATTTAGACGTTTCAGTTTGGTGAGATTCTGAGTGGGGGGAAAGAAGGTTCAATAACAATGATATTAATTGCAAGTGATGATCAGTTCCAGTAATCTTTTTTTAAATGATTCAAATATTATCTCACAGCTAGGCAAGACAGTAGCTTAGGAGCCACCATATGCTTTGCCTGTTAGATCCTGGCTGGGTAATAATCCTGCAGTGCTATGAACTCAACTCAGCACTGGCTGCGGTCGCCAAATGACTTTCCCAGTGGGTCAACGGCTCCCCATACTGGACACAGATAGTCTCAGATTCAATTCCCATGTTCCAAACAGACATCTCCTTTCTGCCCCACTCACCTTGAATGCTTCTGGGTGCAGGCCTGCAGAATCTAACTTGTTTTTGCTGAGATCCAGCCATTCTAGATTGGGCAATCCTGAGAAAACCCCAGCTGGGATGTGAGCAATCTCATTTTCTGGAAAGTACACAAGAGGAAAGGAGAAACATGCTTAACGAGATCCTCCCAAAGACTAGGAATTTCAGGGAAAGCGTAAGAAAGACTCAAATGTATGTACCACATTCTACATGAGCGTTAAAGCAGTGAACATAAAGTACAATGGCACCAAAACAACACTAAATATAGCAATAAAAACAATAAAACACTATTGTGCTATATGTATTGGCAACGGGAACATAACAGCTTAGTTTAGATCCCGCAATCCAACCCAGTAAAGCACAGATCTGAAACCTCCAGTTCTGCAGGACACCCCATCTCATCCTGTCCCCTAACCCAAATCCAAAACCAAAAACCACATTTTGGAGCAAAACCAGGTCATGGCCTGCTTCACACCAATCACTAGGAAGTGGGAAATCTGTGATCAGAATCTCTCAGCATTGCTGCTTATTGAGGTTAAAAGTAGCCGTGTGTATTCTCTCCCCCTACAGTTAAACTGAGACCAGAGTGCCGAAGAAGGTGGGAGTTTAAAATGCTTTCCCCCCTGTGCCATTTCCCCCAGATGTCAATGGCTCTTTGCAGTGGCTGGGACAAAAGCTGGAGACAGGTGATCATTTTCCCCTGGAGAACGAAAGGCAGCTTTAAAGCGGGATTGCAGCTCGTGGTATGCACACCCAACCCACTTCTGCCCTTTCTGAACACGTTTTGACAATATTTCAAAAACCTGGAAACACAGTTGACTGGAGGGACAAAAGAATGCTGTGTGAGTGTATCATGGGAAACAAAACCTCTCACAAACTCAAAACACTGTTCAATAACTTTCCCTTTCAGCGAGCAAAAGATACTTTACTCCTGTGGGTTGCATTGTTAGAGCAAAACATTTAACTTCCATTTGGATCCCCTTCCTCTAATACTTGTAATATTTGTTTACTGCTTAATGGCTTAATATTGTCATGCACAGGTGATTCCAAAGGATTCATCCATATCTGGATGCACATCTGGGGAAAGGGTTCTAGCAGGCCCAGAACCCTTTGACACACGGGGCAAATTGGGTGAAAGAGAGTAGAGAGTATGTATATTCCGGAGGTACAGAGAGGATTATGCAGAAATGATTGAAGAGGGCTACAAATCTAGATACATTTACTGGGGAGTGAGTGGCTGTTTAGGACCATGTTAAATACAGTGCATGCAGCTTGCCCTCTCTTTCTTATTTGTAAGTAAATGTACTTCTCCTAGCCTGGATCAGGACTGCCACGTGTAGGTTGGGAAGACTTAAACTTTTCTCTTGCAGCTATTTGCTCCCCTAATTCTGCCTCTCCATTATAAGGTGGCAATACAAGAAAGGAAGACACCATCTCTGGGTAAGCATCTATAAAATTCCACTGTAAATTTGTTTGGGAACAGCAGAGCATTGCATCTGGAGCAATACTGGGAGTGGTGAGGGGAGATAAATGGAGCAGCAGCACTGGGTGGGGGGGGACCCCTTCCCACCTCAGAGATTCACCTGCCAGGTAGAGGGATTTGAGGGAAGAGTCGCTCAGTCTGGGCACGTGCTTCAGGCAGGTGTTGCCACATGCAATGGCATGTTCCGAAAGCAGGCATGTCGTCGGCAGGGAAGGCATGATGGGCTCAACCCTTTCTCTGGGTACTGCAGGACGCCATCTTGGTGAGCCTGCTCCCACTTGGGTGAACTTCCTGCCAGATGGCCTTTGTTCCTTTGAGCTCTCTTTTTGGGTAGCATTCCTGAAAGGGAGGCTGGGCATAAGCCCTGTTCTTGCCTGGCTGCCGTTCCTGTGCAGTGGAGCAGACTCTGTTCTCACCAAGACCCACTTGACATTTCTCTGGGAAGAACTGGGCTCCTTCCTTGGCACTACCCAACTGGCATTCTTGTGGGAAGGTCTCTGCTCCTTATTCTCCTCTGCCCAGCTGATGTTCTTTTGCTGCAATCTGTGCCCCTTTCCTGGCAGTGCCCGAGTGGCATTCCTCTGGGAAGTAGTGAGCTTTTCCTCTGGCAATAACTGGCTAGCGTTCTTATAGGAAAGAATGTGTTCTGTCCTGGCTTCAGCCCAGCTGGTATTCCCATGTGAGGCACCAGATTTTTTCCCTGGCAGTGCCTGGTTGACATTTCTGTGGATGACAGAGGGCCTCTTATTTGTCTTCGCCTGGCTGACATTCTTCTGCAAGATGGCCTGCTTTTGCCCCGGCAGTATCCAAGTGGTGTTCATGGAGGGTATGCCATGCTTGTTCCTTGACAGGACCTGTTGGTCTTTCTTCTGGGGAAGCCTGGACTCTTTTGTCCCCTGTGCCCAAGTTTTGCTCTTTGTGAGGGTGCTGTGCTCCTTCCACAGGGGTTTGTGGCTGGCATTTCTGTGCAGGTCCTTTCCTGATGATGGCTTGCTAGTGTTCCTGCGGGGAGGCAGGTTCTCCTTTTGCGATAATGCTTGGCTGGTGTTTCTATGGAGAAGTCTGAGTTCTTTTCCTTCTTTTGTCCGAGTGGCATTTTTCTGGGCAGGACTAGAGAGTTTCTGGCTTTCATTTCTGCGCCAAGGACTTGGCACCTTTCTTGTGTGAATCTTGGTAACATTCCCATGTGCAATGCCATATTCCTTTCTTGCCTTTGCCCTGTGGGGGGCAACATCTCCCTTCACTGGTGTTTTCATGGCATGGATCAAACCTGTAAAGACAGGAGATGAACACTGAAAAGCAACACTTGCCGGAGACCTCTTGGAACTGACATGGCAAGCCCTACAGTTAACAAGTAGACAATGCAAAGGGTGCTTGCAGGTTTTTGTTGTGTAATCACACTGCCTCCTTCATGGAATTTTACAGGAGTTCCAGATGTTGTTGTTCTCTGGTTCCTGTATTTTCCTGCCTCTTCTCCCATCCTTTTGCCAACCACAGAAAATCCATTAAGGAGAGAAAAACAGACACAATCGTTGCAGGATTATTTTGATTTGGACTCTTGGCAGCCTGCTCTCTGGAGGCATCCCTAATTAACAGCCCTTATTTCACATGGGACAGTATAACCAGAGAGTTCTCTGCTGCAGACACCACATGACTTGCAAACAGTTCCCACTCATTCAGAGAGGCTTGCGCTAGAGCACATTTCCTCTGTCCCAGCGGTCAAATCAGCCTCCTACACAGGCACGCTGAAAGCCATCGGAATCCACCATCGGAGGCACTTGCCTCCTGGTTAAAGCCCTCTCTGTTGGAAATGGAGGAAGCACAGCAGCTTTATGTACCCATCGGCTGCAACTCCAGGCAAGCTGTTCACCATAGCGGGATACAGGGGACATCGAAGCCATCTCTCATCCCGAGGCCATAAAATGCGAGCCTTCCCTGTGCTTGGGCAGGCTGTACGTGATGCCTGTGGTCAGATCCAGCACCACACCTGGCACCCTTGCATAACTGTTGTTGCCTCAGTGTCCTAGCAGGGCTCACCAATGCTTATGTCTGCCCAGGGCATCCTAAGGCAAGTAGCTGCATCTGTGAGCTGCCATTTATAAATGTCCCACCATGCCACTGAGCCGTGCTATACCAGGGGGGTGGGGGGAGGCATAGTGGGAAATTTAAAATGGCAGCTTGAAGCCTCCTAGCATTGTCTCCAGGCAGTCAGCATGCTTGAGGGGCAGCCTAAAACTGGTAGGCGTGCTTTAAGAAAAAGAGACCGTACAAGGGCAAACCTGCCAAGAACACAGCGCCATTGGGACAGAGCCCCGCTGGACTTGCTCCACCGTGACCCTGCACCTTGCTGCTCACCTGCCTGTCACACTGACCCAGGCAATGGACTCCCTGCCATCTGTCCACCCAGCACGCAAGCTGTGACAGTGAACAGAAAGAGGAGGAGGAGCAAGAGCAGCTGGCAACAGTGGCGGCGGGAAGGATGTCTTGCCCCAGGACCCTCCAAAGCCTGGAGCCAGCCCTTGAAACTGTGGCAGACCTATGAGCAAGCCGCCTCTTGTCCCCTTCTTCCCACTCTCTTTCTTGCCTCTTTAGGATGCATACCTCCCACCTGGTTGAAGCTGATGTTTGTTCCAGGACCAGTAGCATCTAATTTGCCAGTGGTGCTGTTGGTCTCTATTTTTTTAATGGCCAACACCTTTTTCCCAGCTTTGGCCGCTTCTTCATTCTTGGCCACATGTCCCTTCCCCAGATTTTGGACATCCAGATGGGCAGACACCTTTCTTCTCAGGATGCTGTTCTTGAGAACTGAGGGCTTTCTGCCTTTATGAAGCACCTCTTTTTCTCCCCTCACACTTTTCACACCGATTCCAGACTTGGAAGTCCCTAGAAAATGAAACAGGAAAGAGAAATCAGGATGCCTTTGTTACTTTTGTAAAAAAAATATGCACATACTACTTTCCCTAGATAAAAAACAGTTCCTAACATTATGGCCCATTAGAGAAACATTACCGAAGGGAGGGCTAATTAGGCTGATAGGAGCAGATATTTATTTAAAGCTTTTATATAGTAAAAACTCCCAGAATGGTATGCAGTAAAGCGGCATAGTATGTCATCAGAGGGAGGGAGCAGGCTTCATTCCTCCTGAGTGGTGCCATGCCATTCACTCCTATGAAAAAAGTAAAGTGCTTCATTAGGGAAAACTGCTGTGGGGAGGACAAAACATTAAACTGGTTGGCCTAGCAGCCACCCTGACAGTGAATGTGCCTTTGCAAACACAAAAGTGTTGATGGCATGCAATAGCTGGTGGCTACTGGCTACCAGCCATGTGCTAGCCTTGATGGGAGCTGAATTCTGTGTTCTGACTGAATGAAGAGTGGTTGGAAGGTAGCCAGAGAAGAACACAGAATCTGGGATTTTGGAACTAGAGGAAGGAGAGGTTTACAACAGTCTGTTATATGATCAGAGGGACTGATGCTATTTTGAGACTGATTCCATCTGTTGTGGTACTTGTTTGCTCCCCCAAACTCAAATTGTATGTATGCAATTTCATAAAAATGTCATCCACATCTAAAAAGCCTTCTGCAAAAGTGAGGTGACTATGCAATGGCTGCCCATGGAACTTCCTACTCTGCTTGGGGAACCAAGGAGTTAGGAAATAATATACTGAAGTAAGTGCTCATCAAACAGAAAGTCCTGGACAAAAGGTACAACTCCAGATGTTTTTGACTTCAAGTTCCAGAAGCCCTGCCAGCCTGGTCAATAGTCAGGAATGCCCAGAATTGAAGTTCACAACATCTGGAGAACTACCCACCCTTCTTCTAGAAGAAAGAAGAAATTATAGTAGAACAGTCCATATAAGGTTACTTGCTTTTAGATTCTGAATCAGAAGCAGCATCAAGAGCTGGGCATCTCCCAAGGACACACACTCCAGTAGGGACCCACTGGCAGGAGTTCACTGCAGGTGCTCCTTCCCTTCAATATGGAACCTGCTGATTCACCTGCCTCTCACTCTGGCCAGACAAGGGTGGTGCTGAAAAACAGCAGTAGCAGTTGCCACAGCCTCCTTGCTCCCTGGCTTTCTGTGTGATGTTAAGAGAGAGGAGAGCTACTAACAATGGTGCTAAAATGGAAGACTCATACCTAACTAATTCATCCACTGAATGAAGCTACTGCAGCCTTGGTCAAGTGGATCCTGGCCAAAGCATAACCTGCAGAGCCAGTGTGGCGTAGTGGTAAGGAGTGCAGGAATGGGACTCATGCAGTCTGGGTTCTAGTCCCCACTCAGGCACCCCACTGGGGCCACAGATTCTCAGCATAAGCTACCTCACAGGGTTGTTGTTGCAACAATAAGACGGAGAGGAGAAGGAAAATTATGTAAGCTGCCTTGAGTTCTTGGATGGAAACAAAGAGGGGTATAAATACATTAAACAAATAAAGAAAGGTACTGTGGCATTGTTTACTGAGTGTTCCCCGTATGTGAGCACACTCTTCTCTGTGGATTTGGCTATAGAAAGAATCTTGGTCAGGCATTGACAGGGATATGCTGAAGATCACACTCTGAATTCGTGAATCCAGAATCACTGCTGCTCTTTGGTTGGTTCATAAGTCACAACACTGCTGAAGCCAAATTGCTTTTCCAACATTCCAACATTGTGGCCCCTTCCAACTCTAGTGTTGGGCTACTGCTGAAGAGTCTGTGACTAACCCCTCGAGTAACCTCTCTTAATTGCTCCAATATCAGTTTTCCTTCCCATATTGGGTGGGGGGGGGAGTGGCATTAAGTACTGATTTTCTTCCAATTTCCTTTGCATTTTTAAAGTACTTTTTACTATCAAAATGGGGGGGGAGGTGAAATAATGAAAGGAAAAGCAACTTAAGGACTACCTTAAACAGTATTTGACAGTGGGATTCTACACATCCCTAATAAAAAGATATCCCCACTGTATTTCAGATCATACTCCCTAATAAATGTGTTTAAGATTACCTGCTTATGTTCAAAGTCCAATTATTTATTTATTTAGAATATTTATATGCCATCCTGTCGTGAAAGCCTCAGGATGGCTTACATAGATAAAATAATATAAAACATAACACAAATGAATTACAGACCCACACTGGCTGCAGTTAAAAACATATAAGCCGCCCCGAGGCTTTTTGTGAATGGGGCAGCATAGAAATGTTTTAAATAAATAAATATAAGAACCAATATTAAAGTTATTAAAATATTGCTAGAATAAAAAGGTCTTAACCTGGCACCAAAAAATAAATAACGATGGGGCCAGGCGGACCTCTCTGGGGAGCGCATTCCATAGGCGGGGCGCCACCGCAGAGAAAGCCCTCCTTTAGGTACTTTGCCTCCTAATATCTTTCATGGAGGGTTCCCGGAGGAGGACCTCTGCTGCCAGTCTCAGGGAGGGCAAATACGGAAGAAGGCGTTTTCTTAGGTATTCAGGTCCCAAGCCGTTAAGGGCTTTATAGGTGATAACCAGCACCTTGAATTGAGCCCGGACTTCGATGGGAAGCCAGTGAAGCTGATAGAGGACTGGGGTTATATGAGAATAATGCCCAGTCCCTCTCAGCAACCTGGCTGCTCTATTTTGCACCATCTGAAGTATCCGGACTGTCTTCAAGGGCAGCCCCACGTAGAGCACATTGCAGAAATCCAACCGGGAAGTAACCAATGCATGTGTCACTGCCACTAGGCAATCCTCCTCCAGGTAGGGACGCAGCTGATGGATTAGCCGAAGCTGAAGGAAAGCGCTCCTCACCACCGCAGTCACTTGAGCTTCCACGGACAGCTCCGGGTCGAGGAGCACTCCCAAGCTGCGAACCCTATCCTTTAGAGGGAGTGCAACCCCATCCAGGGCAAGGTCCAAGTCACCTACCCAGGAGCCTGATCCACCCACCAACAGGACCTCCATCTTGTCTGGATTAAGTTTCACTTTGTTAGCAGGCAATCATCACTAATCTCCTAGCTATGATTAACTGAAAACAATAATACAAGGTGGATCTACGAACGAGAAACTTTTAATTAAAATCACAGGAATCCTGAGAAACCTAAGAAGCATTCAATATTGCAAACATCCCCTCCCCTAATAACTCAGCACTCCACAAATAGTTCTGAAAAAGCATGGGAGGAAAACACATAAAACCCTGCACTACAGTGATTTGATAACAACCTCATCTGTATTCCCCCATTAAATGTAAATAAACAAAGTTCTGAATAAATGTGTTAGTGTGGAAACAACTGTGAATTGTGGAATAGAATCTCAGATCCATGCATAAACAAATGCTATAAAAAAGAAATATTTCCATCATGTGACCTAATGGCAGGCAATTGATTGCCAAAGAACAAATCTAGCCCCCAAAGTCTTCTTTGTCTTGTCCTCAGAATAGATGTGGGTTTTGGTTGGACAATAGAAAGCCATCCCGAAACTGCATGCAGTTTTGCCATAGGTACCCTGGTGTAGTTACTTTGGTACACCTGTTGCCCTTACAGCACAGACACATACACAAAACATGAGTTACACAGCACAGACTACACTACACATGCAGTAACACCCCCCCCCATTTTCCTACCCCCCTGCATCAACCCAGTGAGCATGTGTGCATTATGAAGGCTTGTGCAGCCATATGGAAAGCAAGACACATTTTGGCTGAAATATTCTGGTTTCACTCCCTCTCAATCTTGCAGCAGACCAAGAACGTAGAATCACAATTGGGCCGGTAAAATCTTGGTTGAGCACTAACCCCAACTCTTAGTCATAGCAGATGGAAAGGCGGGAACCAGTGTGGGCAGACACACGCAGAGCAGGGTGGAATGGATGGGACAGGAAATAATAAAACTGACCTTCATGTCTCCAGGGAAAAGCAGGAGACTGCCTCAGTTTGATACATTTTGTGGGAGTCTGCCCGCCCTTGCTACTGGGGCTGGTCCTAGACAGTCTGTTGCCTAAAGCAAAGGACCAGAGATTGTTCGATCGCACACACCGACATTGGGTAGATTTGCAGTTCAGTCCCACACTTTGGGCCACACCACACCTGAGGCAAGCTTATTTTTTTATTTTATTTATTAAAAGCTTTTCTATCCCGTCCCCTACAAACGTCTTGGGGCGGCTTACAATACCCACAATCCTCAGCTTAGTAGTGGGCAGCAGGCCACAAGATACCCACAACTGTGGCATCTTGCTGCCCTCTGTACCAGAGACGGTGGGTACCTCACTCGGCCCAGCTCTGGGCTTGTCCTGCCTGCCCGCAGCTTCTCCTTCCAGGCAAGCCCTTCCTGAAGCCCCTCCCTTATGAGCGGCCACCACCCACGCTGACCTTCCCCGACTCACTCACCTTCCGCCACACCCTTCCCCAGGATTTGCTCCCGTGCGGTCAGCGGCTTCGGGTGGTTCAGCGGATGGGCTGGTGCATGAAGGGCAGGAAAGAACGGGGAGCCCAACTCCTTGACGGGGCTTTCGTTTTTGCTCCGGCCAGCCAGGCCAGGAGGCACCCACAGGGCCAGGAGCAAAAGGGCGAGAAGAAGGCGCTTCATCCCTGCGCTGCCTCCCTGACGGCGGGGCTGCTGCTTGGCTGTGTGCTGGGATCCCCACTCGACACATACTCCCGTAGAGCGAGAGGTTTTATATTCTTCATCCCCACAACTCTGACGATGGGGAGGAAGAAGGGGGGGAGGGGGGAGGGGAAGCACAACTCTGACTGGAGCAAAGGGAGCAGAAGTTCTGGCAGCACCACGCAAGGGCCTGGCAATTATCGTCAGCTGGGGAACCGGCCCACCTAATACAGGGAGCTTGTCTCTTAGCACCTGGCCAGGCTCCGAGGCCTCACACCAATGAATGGCGCTTCTGTGCCTGCACACAGCCAGCTACTGTGCAGAA